TTACTATATCGCTTGTAATTTTCATAACTGCTGTCGACGTGTTATGTAGCTTCCTGATATCTGACTGTGTGTCAGGTAGTATTTTATTCACTTTTAGATGTTCTCGCAGCGCGTCATCATCAATTTTTTCTAATAATTTTGACATAGCAGGTAAAACACTTATTGGCCTCAAGTCATTTAAGTCTACAGCATCGGCGACTTTTGGAAGCGGTGTTATTTCTGACTTTTTCCATAACATCGGTACTTCTCCCGTATACAGTGACTGGTTGATGATTTCGGTAATTTGTTGTATACAAAAAGAAAATACGCTTGTCAGCGTCCTTGTGGTAGTACCATCATATCCAGCTGCGTTTGACCTTACTTGTATCAATTTTTCTTCGATTTTGTCTGTTGTTACACGACAGAATGAAGATTTAGATACAGTTGCTTGTTTCTGTCCTGACAATCTATTAAAAAACAAATCGTTTTCCTGGACAGTCGGTACAGAGTTGATAAAGTATTTATTGATAACTTCCACATCCTCGATTCCTGGCAATATGTGTTTGTTGGATTTTCGATGTATGTTCCATCTGGAAAAATCGTTCCACAGCTGTTTGGGTTTTTTTTTTGTTTTTATTTAATTGATACTTTATATGAGCTGTCCTCTCATTTCTTATAGCTATGCTGAAATAATTTCTAAGCTCGTTGTAAAATAAACGATGTGTTTCGCATCTGGTTCTTTTAAACTGATTGTATGCTTTTTGCTTAAGACGTCTGACACATTTAATTGTATAGGTTACATAACGCCTGTGGTTCTTATGTGATGTGACTCTTTTACTGGTGCGTGTATGTCATACAGTAAGTTAATATTTTCAGTAATGTAATTAACTTTGTCATTAAGATTTTGAAATTCACTCATATAGCTCCAGATGGTGGTGGTAGCATCTATAGCAAATTCATCATAGTTGAAATGAGAAAAATCTCGACAGTAAAATACAGCAGGAGTATACTTTGGAGTGTTAAGGTTCAGCTCACAAAAGCACAATCTGTGATCGGTTATATCTGTACCATATTTACATATATCCAACGTACTTGTTATAAAAATGATGTCTATCATTGTGGCTGTGTTTGCGGTAAGTCTTGTAGGTTCTTCTATGACCTGGACTAAATTAAATAATGTCATGATATGCAAAAACTTTTTGCATGGTCCCATTGATTTATCTGTGAGATCGATGCTTATGTCTCCTAGCAATATGAGTTCATCATGGGCACTGTACCCAGAACTAAGGGTTTCAGTCAGAGAGTATACCTGGAGCACAAGATGGGGGTCTGTAAATAACACCTGCTGCAACATGTTTGTGTCAATTTTCACTGATACCCACAGATACTCGATACCATTTGGTGGAATACTGCTAAGATCTAAGATTTTATACCTTAGACCACATTGGACATAAATGCATACTCCACCTCCCCTTCCTTCTATATCCTTTCTGATTAACTGATAATTAGGGAAAGAAGTTAAGTTAGATGGGAAGTTGGGCATAAGCCAAGTCTCGGTCACGGCTATAATATGCTCCAGAACAATATCTGAAAATATATCAAAGCTTGGAACTAGTGACCTGATGTTAACGTGTGATACATTTAGGGTGCTGCAACTGTTTGCTATGCCTCTACAGTCTGGCATATTGGTTTCCTTAGATGTAGTTTCAAAGTTGGTTCCTGATTGCTATATAGCATAATCTATGTTATTTCTAGCAGCCTCTAGTTTCTTTCTCATAACTGAGCAATTAACCTTATCAAAAGCAGAATGATTCACGTCCAATTTTAGTTTAAATTTCTGGTTAATTGCGAGACAATTAGGGCAAGAGACATTTGAATTTCCACATGCGTCGGCAGTATGTCTTTTATCTCCACATTTCAAACAAAACGAGTCATTTGTACATTTCTTTGCTATGTGGCCGTAACCGCTACAGTTGTAGCACCTTAATAAGTTAATATGTTCGTATACTGGACATATCGTCAAATTAACACAAACCATACCATTTTCCAAGATGTTATGAAATGTTTTTGGATCGCACTCAATTATCGCAAAAAATCTTGTCTTTATCTGTTTTATTTTAACTACCCTTAGGAATGCGTTTGTGTCAATGAAAATATTCTCTTGACTTATTATATCAATTAACTCTTCACTGTTCAGTGCTTGTTAAATTCCAACAACTTTGAATTTAGGTTTCTGGTAATGACTTACTATGTTAACGTTGTAAGAGCCGGTTAATTCTTTGGTCAACACATCGTTTATCTTCTGCATTTCGCTTCTATTTTCACACGAGATCTTCAAACTCCAGATCCCTTAACTCTTGTTACGTTCAAATCGGCAGGTTTCAGAATCTTCAAAACATCCTTCTTTATTTGCAAAGGTTGTTGAGCTCCTTTAAGTTTTATAAGAACACCATCTGAACTTGTTTTCTTTACTAGCTCAATAGTACTGTTACTTCATATCTTCTGTTTTATTATCAGATACTAGATCCGTCTCTCCTATTGGCTTGTTTGTTACAGTTATGTCATCTGCTTTACTTCTAATCCATTCAATTTTTTCGTCCAATAGTGCTATTTTCTCATATCATTCTTCGATTATTACATCTTTTGCCTTGATAATTTCATCTTTCGATAAAATAATCTCGTCCTTACTTTTTATGATATCCTTCGACAGTTCTTCGTTGTTATCACTGTATTTTTCTACATTATCCCCATCTTCAGGATCTTCATGTTTTTATTCTTCTTTCGTACAGTTTGACTCATGTTCCCTTATACCAGCGGCTATTTCCGGATTACCCTATACACTCTGTAGACTAGTTTCTTAATTTGATTTGACACTATTGACGAAATGTCCAAATGACAAAATGGAATATATGGTAAAATTGCTGAAGATTACTCGCACGGCTCTGGAAACTATCGCCATCAGGTCCACGGACGTACCTCTTCCTGCTCTTAACTTGAACACCTCTGGTTTTAAATATTTTTGGCTTTTCTCCGATATTTTGAGGTATTTACAGTGAATACTAATTTAGTAGTCTACTATATAGAAACCAATGAAACTGAAAGGGTCACAATAGTTTCTGTTTGATTACCTAAAAATATCATTTTCATAATAAGATCATCAACAGTATATTTTCAGAGAACTGAAAAGATTTACTACTGCTTTGATAAAATATTTCATTAATGTTTTATCAATTGCGATGCTTAGGAATGATTAGAACCATTAGATGGAGACAGTAGCATAGCTGTTTGCCCTGAAGGTGGCTTAGATTATTGATTATTATACAGAGTGTAAAATATTTCACTAGTGCTAGACCCTACAGTCTACATTATGCGAGGTCCCTATACTTTGTTGGAAGTTACTTTAAGGTATTGGACTGTAGGTCAAATTCTCTTGACATGAAGAAAGCTTCTGGTCCAGCATGACCCCTGCTATTGTATTGAAGAAATGTGCAGTGGAGCATGCTCCAGCATACAGGCCTATAGCTATGTTCTCTATTATAAGTGAGATGATGGAGGGATCTCCTCTTCATCTTACAATGTTAACACGGATTTTCTCCATGGATCGATCTTGGCTTCGACATTATACCTCTTACATATTAACGATCTTCCCTATACAATTAATCTGATCCATATCTTTGCTGATGACAGCACTGTTCTCTAACGAACAACCTCGGGGCCCTTTCGCACCGACGCGCTGTCAGCTATTTGGCTTTCTTCTACCGCTATATCAACGTACTTTGCTCCTTAGGGTATCGATATTGTGATGCTCCTCATAGCTATAAAGTCATAGGTCTGACTCAGTGACCAATGATATTATGCCATATCACTTTGAGGTTTTATACCAATGGAGTAGACCACCGTTACTAAAAAAATGCTTTGATTTGCTCGCAAGTTACCAGCGTTCATGCCGAGCCTACTTGATACTTGGCAATTTTCATATTATCTGTAACCTATTTTTTATTATCAAACATATCTGGGATATTTCGTGATACCTTTTCAGATAATCGCGCTTTTATCATTTTTCAATTCACTCTTTTAGTAGGCCATGTTACAACACAAGCAATTTGTGCCATGTATCTGGGTTTATTTAATATTGAGATTTTCCCAACCTTTAGTGATTTTATCAGTATCCATGCATAAATGAAGCTAAGACTAGATCATATTATTTTTTCGACGCTTCAAGCTATTTTCTTTGATCTATGCTTATTTTTACTTATGCTATTTTATTGTAAAAATGGAGTAATTTTGCGTTGATACAGGGTAGTTTAACGAATGGTATCTAGATACATGTTTGTTCTATCCATATCACGTTATTATTATACCATAATCACTGGCATTCAACATTTGTTGATTTGACAGCTATGGTTGGAATGTTACATACACCTTATTCCAAGAAATAACAAATAAATTTATATATTGCTAAGTTATGTGCTACATACTGAAGTTATGGCTAATTTGAATTTCATTGTTTTATCTTTATTTTATCCATATTAATGTTATTTGTTAAACATGTATTTATAATATTTATTATTATTATTGATAATGATTATATAGTATATATATTGTTTGTACTTAAACCAATAAATTTCAATTACAAGATGATATGAATATTTTCTAGCGTATAATGAACTTCCTGGACAAGCAATCCCTGCTTTTCGTGGAAACGGCAGACATGTTGGCGCGAATGGCCCGCGAATCGCTGGTACAGGCACGTTTGCCAAATTTCCACATTCCAGCAGCGGTGGAGGTGCTGACGACAGGTACTTATGCAAGGTTGCCAGCTTGCATCAGGGAGAAGATTGTGCCTCCGGACCCTATAACGCCAGCGGAGAAGAGGAGTACGTTACTTAGGTTGAATCAAGTCATCCAGCACAGGCTGGTGACTGGGAATTTGTTGGCGCAGATGAAGAATTTGAAGGTAAGCGTAAAATTTCAAGGCATGTCAATTTTAGTGCGGGTTCGAATCCCGTCCCAGGAGAAATTTTTCTTTTGGCTATGGATGTTGTGATTGTCCATAGGTGGTAGCCGGTCTCTGACTGTCGAACGCGGATGTACCACCCGGCGGATCTCGTAGGCGGGGCCAGAATGTGTGCATGTTGCATGCACACGTGTTTCCTCGCCAGAGTCCGTGTGGCGTCCCCCCTTTTCCCATGTATCCCCCTATAGCCCCACGGTACCCTGTGGATATTTAGGCCTTAGGGCTTTGTGGTAGTTGAAGTATTAAAAAAATAGTATTTCAGTCGGAACCGAAATTTCATTCCAATTTGAGTTTTGAAATTTCATTCCAATTTGAGTTTTGTCCAAAACCGAAACTTATGTATGATTAGTATGATATGGGAGGTAAGATAGTAGTGTATCTCCGAGAAAAAAACGAGCTCAGTCTTTATCAATTATTAGTACTAATAATAGCAGTTCATTATTAAAGAAAAAACAAACCAATACGATTTAAGGTTGGTTTAGACGAAAACCTAGTTTAATTTGAGGATTTCTATCGCACAAGAACTTGAACCCCATTAAAAATTTTGTAAACCTATATGTTCAATTTTTGTAGTTTATGGTATTTTAAGCGATGATTTGGGTATCCTTGAACTAATAAGTAGTGTTTTTTTTAGAAGAATTATTCAAATACCAAAAACAAAACTATATCCACGAAATTAGTAACTAAAACATTTTTTAGGAAATTTAGTTTGTACAAACGGTTTTGAATATTTGGCCTGAAATTGAGTCTGAACTGGAATTATCCAGTGATTTGTGAGTTATCTACCATTTTAAATCATATAACAAAAAAAAGTGCCTAGATTTCTGTACTCATACAAAACTGAAATTCAGTGTTAATGCAACAGGCCATTAGAACGAAATCTAGTTTGTGCTGTTCATCACTACCTGCAATCCAATCGTCCTGCCGTGCTTTTCTTGGCGCAGACAAAAATCTCAGAGACTGCACCGATTAACCACCTCAACTTCCCAAACTACGAGGTGCACTCCAATCTGAGAAAGAACGGGGGAGTTGTGGCTTTTGTCCGCAGCAGTCTTTCCTGCTCCAGGGATCTTTCTTTGGAATTAGACCGGAAGGACATTCTGTGGCTTCGCATCAGCTCCAAAACATCACCCAAATTTATTTGCTGCCTTTATCGCTCTCCCTCGAACCATAACTGGGATGACCTACTCGAATACCTCGCCGTCCAGATCGACTTCCTGAACATCAATCACCCCGCTTCAGAGGTAGTTCTTCTCGGTGATTTCAATGCCCATAATGAGCTTTGGTTGGGCTCAAATAAGACCGATGCAGCAGGTCGTGCAGTCGAAGCGTTCGCTCTTACTCAAGGGCTGACCCAGCTGGTGACGAGCCCTACTTTTGTCCCCCGCGTCTCGTCACACGCCAGTAGCCTGTTGGATCTCTTTCTGACCACGCATCCTGCCCCCTACAGCACTGCTGTCCTGTCCCCCCTGGGTAACTCAGATCACGGTGTTGTGGAGGTTAGGTTTCGGTCAGAAGCCGCTGTGGCAGCAGAAACTCGCACAGACCGCAAAACTTGGCATTACGGACATGCCGACTAGGAGGGGTTCAGAGACTTCTTCTCTAGCTTTCCTTGGAGAGATGTCTGTTTCACTGATGCGGATGCGTCGACTGTCTGTTCTTCAATAACCGAAATTATCCACGTCGGAATGGAGGAATACATCCCTCACATAGTCAAAGTTTCTAAACCAGGGTCCAACGGCTGGTTCAACAAATCGTGTGACACTGCTCGCCAGCAGAAGATCAAGGCCCACAGAACCTACTTACAAAACCCCACTGTAGAGAACAGACAAGCCGACGTCGAGTCCAGAAACAAATATAACGAAGCGGTTCGCAATGCCAAAAACCAGCATGATATAAAAGTTAGGCACAGTCGCAGCGCAATGGCAGTCGGTCTTTCTGGACGCTGGCCAAGCAGATTGAAAAGAACTTCTCACACAGTAGCCTTCCACCACTTACGTGTCAGGATGGAACTATTGTATTCGACTCAAAGGCCAAGGCGGAAGTGCTAGCCAAGATCTTTGCTGCCAACTTCACCATGGACGTCCCCACCAACGCCCAAGTGCCGTCAGTTCAAAGGGTTCCCCACACTATGCGGGAGGTAACATTCAGGCATAAGTCCGTAAAACGAGTGCTCTTGTCGCTTGACATCAACAAAGCTTCTGGTCCGGACTTGATTCCTGCCATTGTACTGAAGAGATGTGCAGCGGAGCTTGCTCCAGTTCTGTCGCGTCTCTTCCAGATATCTTATGAATCCGGCACCTTCCCAGAAAACTGGAAATTTGCTCATGTACAGCCCATCCCAAAAAAAGGATCCAAAACCGACCCTTACAACTACAGGCCTATAGCTCTGCTTTCTGTTATAAGTAAAGTGATGGAGAGGTGCATAAATCGCGAGCTTCTGGACTACCTCGAACGTCACAGCTTGATTAGCGACAGGCAGTACGGTTTCCGGCACCAACGATCCACAGGGGACCTCCTAGCTTACGTCACGCAACTGTGGAGTAAACTCATCCAGTCTCATGGGGAGGCTCATGTCGTTGCTCTTGACATCACGAAAGCGTTCGATCAGCTGTGGCACGCTGCCCTCTTAAGCAAACTTCCTATGGCCTCCCAGAAAAGCTTTGCAGATGGGTGGCTGACTTTATCTCTGGCCGCAAGATATCCGTCGTAATTGACGGATTCTCCTGTTCATCCCACAACGTCAACGCGGGTGTTCCCCAGGGATCGGTCTTGGCTCCAACACTGTTTCTCTTACATATCAACGACCTCCTTTCCTGCACGATCAACCCAATCCACAGCTTCGCTGATGACAGCACTCTACATGCAGGAATTCAGAGTGACAAGCCGATCTCTGCCGCTGAGCTGGAAAAAAGAAGACTAGCGACGACTTCTTCTCTGACAAGAGACCTGGAGGCTATCACTGCTTGGGGATGCAACAATCTTGTACAGTTCAGTGCTTCCAAAACACAGTACTGGACTTTGACGAACAAAAAGCGTCCTAGCGCTCATACAGTTTCGATGGACGGTCGAGTTCTACCAAAGAGCCATTCATTTCGGCTGGTCGGAGTCCAGGTCACCGAGGGCCTGATCTGGCACGAACACATCTCTTCAATAGCTGCAGCTGCTGGGAAAAAGCTAGGCTATTTGTTTAGGGCTAAGAAGTACTTTTCTCCGCATGACCTTCTCACTCTATAGAAGGCCCAGATAAGGCCTAGCCTCGAGTATTGCTCACACATTTGGGGTGCTGCCGCCCCGACTACATTGTCCATGCTCGATGCTGACCAAAGGAGGGCGGTCCGACTGATCGATGACTCTTCTCTAACAGACAGTCTCGGGACTCTTTTCTATCGCTACACCAACGGGCTTTGCTCCTCAGAGCTCTCTTCTATGATGCCGCCGCGCGATGTGCCTGCCAGACAGACCCGCCTGACTTCGGCGTCCCACCCTAACCGTGTCAAACTTCGTACATCCAGAACTGGCCGATACGACCGCTCCTTTGTCCCGAGGGTGTCTAGATTGTGGAACAATCTACGGGAGGAAGCTTTTCCCAGTTTTACTAACCTTAGGCAGTTCAAAAATCGTATCAACAAAATTTCTTTGGGATCATCATAGCAGCCGCGGTGTTCCGGCATTTAGGCTTCTGCCTGCGCGGCTGTTTCGATATATAAAAAAAAAATTATAATTGAGCAACCTGATACAGGGTCCGTCAGAAAGAACGCATGTTTTTTAAATGAGTAATAGTCAAAATAAGTATGGGAAAAAATATTTAATTATATCAAAATAATCAGAAATACATGCCATTTTTGGGTAAAACAAAATTTACGTTCTAAAAACTATGTCTGCTATATGGCTCCCTAGAGCCGAAATGCAGGAATCAAGCCTCTCCCGAAATGAGCCTATTGCGTCGGCCAGTATCCGTGCAGGAAATTGGGTTACTCCTCTTCTTATTTCCTCCTTCAAATCGACGAGGGTCCGAGGCTTGCTTTGGTAAACTTTTGATTTCAGGTAGCCCCATAAAAAAATCACACGTTGAGAGGTCCGGGGAGCGAGGGAGCCATGGAATGTCGCCGGAGAGGCTTGATTCCTGCATTTCGGCTCAAGACGCCATATGGCCGACATAGTTTTTAGAATGTTAATTTTGTTTTACTCAAAAAAAATGTCATGTATTTTGATATAAGAAAATATTTTTCCCATACTTATTTTGGCTGTATTACTCATTTAAAAAACATGCGTTCTTTCTGACCCTGTATTATACAGTTTTACAACATTCCTAGCAAATTTGACCTTCGGTCTGTATAAATATGCCCAGCGGCACTATACATTTGCAGACTTGGAACACTAGTTGGTGGAGCTGAAACGTATTTCTTCAGAAAGGACACCGACTAGAATTCCAGTACGCAAAAATATCTGCGTTCCTCTGCAGCCTTTCTGTTTCGGTTGCAGTTTCGGCAGACTTTCTGCCGAAACCGAAACTGATTTTGGACCGAAGCTGACCGAAAGTTCGGTCGGACACTAGCCAATGTTCCTTCGCTCTTGGATATCGCAGCTGTTGGGGAATTTTGAATCAGAGACATGTTTAAGGTTGAGCCTTGAGGGGTGTCTATTGAGTGAGACAGTGGTAATACTAAGTTTTTGCGTTGGAAGATCGTTCATATACTCTTATGCTGACGTCATTCTTATCTATTGTTATTACTATGTTTGTGATAGGGAATATAGAGGCATAAAAGGACCTGGCATGTGGCCTATGCCTTGGTACTTCTTGGTTGCTGGAATGCCCCTTCATTTTATTTCATTTAATCACTTATCACCCCATTATGTGATATATTTCTGACGTTTAACTTCAATTTGCGCAACGGTCGATCTGATATTTAACCATTGCCTCTGGGACCCCATGTAACACCTTGACATCAATCCAAAATCCTTGCTGAAGGGATCTCCAATATATTGAGATCATGAGTACTGATGAAGATTTGATTGAAATTTACATAATTTTCTCTTCCAGATTGAAAATGGCAGAGTGACATTTCACGTACCACACGAATTTGAAGTGTCATTAACAGTCATGGGTGATGGCCCCAATATCCCATGGAGGCTACTGGAAATTGACATATTGGTTGAAGACAAAGAAACAGGAGGTAATGAAACTACAAAAATTTGA